TAGAGTGTGTAATGAATGCTTCAGCGTGTGCTGTGACTGAGCATCATCAGTGTTTCAGTACTCGAGTGAAGAGAGTTACTCAGCAAGTGATACTTCTCCATTATCGTCGTCAGGAGAATCCTGCCTTTCTCTTGTTGTCTCGTTGTAATGCAAGAGATCTTTCCACGTGCTCCGGTTTTGGAACTGATCAAGTGCAGATACTGTACCATAAAGGGTTCGGGTAGTAGTGATGGCACTGCACGTCCAGGATGTGAGTAGTCGTTTTGGAGAAACTCATCACTAGTACCCAAGATTCTCAGAGTCGAAGTGGTTCTGCAAGTGGTCTGGCTATCTTTGTTGTTGGCCATTTAAATATTCTGTACTTCTGGGGGAGTCTTTTGGCATTAATAATTTAGTGTATTTTATTTGATGCTGGTTATTTTAAGTTGGTATAATAGTTCTTATTTGTGTTAGCGCTTTCTTCGTGTTCCTAGCTTTTTGTTGTTTGCTAATTTTATTTTTGTTTTATATGGTATTAGTTGTATATCACTACTCTTTTACTGGTATGAGCGCTGAGCGACCTACACGGTCAAAGTGCTCTGTAAATATCATAAGTTCTACGACTATTTGAATATTCAGTACATTGTTGGTCTTGGTGTTGTTTCCAAGAAGTGTTAAACCGGTATGATTCATTCAGCGTTCTATATATTTCAGTGCATGGGATGTCAGAGAAGTTAGCGGACAATATTCAAGTGTAAGTTGATGTGAAATTAGTTTCATTCAGCTAAAACATCATCGTGGAATATTTAGCCAAAATAATGATAGAAATCTACGGAAAGAAATTTAAAGGCCAAGACACTTCACAGCAATTTAGGATGTAGAACTGTTTTTAATATATATAAAAATAATTAACAATGATTTAAAATAAGGAATCGTTGATTGTATTCTGGATCAAAGAACACAAGATAAAAAAAAAAGGTGGTCGTGGGGGTGAAGCCCTCAGAGTGCTTCTGCCCTTTGCTACAACCTACTTGTGTGAAGCAGGATTACTCTCACCAAGAAAAGGTTTGCAAACAGTCGCAGTGACACAGCCTCTCTTAAAAAAGCACTTTGTTTTGAAAGCCTTTACTCAAGTAATGTTATGCAAGAGTTCTCATCAGTAAGCTGTCACGTGTAAGTTATTTGGTAAATGTTGTTCAGCATGCAAGTTTATTCAGTTTTCTTAATCATTTATTTATTTTATCTATTTTATAATAAATTACAAGAAAGCTGTTTGAAGGCATGGGTCGTTAAGTTAAATTTGTGTTGCACCCAATAAAGGTTAGAAACTATTGCTATAAACCCATAATATGTTCCACTTTTTTCTCAGTTCCAAATGAGTCGCCAGAATTGTTGTTAGTCAAAAGACTGAATATTAGTTTTTAGTACAGTATGCAACCGAAGTTTGAAAATAATTCTGTATGGGGTTTGAAACGGCGCCATGCTGGAATTTTAAAACTGAAACAACTCAGTGTTGAAAAGAATGAATATTTGTTGATCTTAACAAGGTGCCAACAAGCCAAGTTACACAGAGCACAAACGGTGCTAAAAAAAAACATAAAACGTTAAATGGAGGTTGTGATAATCCTCTTACAGTCTTTGAGGGACGCTGTTAAAGTGTCAGTTTTGGCATAGCGCCGCTTCAAATATATAAGAAAAAGTTAACAATTAAAACGAGATTTTTAAGTATCTTTTCTCGATATTTATTCCTACCATTTTCTTTTTATCCATATCCGCCGCTTTGGATCCCAGGATAAACTTCATGATGCTTGGTCACTTTGACTTGAAAATTTCAATGCGTGTGCATACTCCTAAAATTAAGGTCTGTAATGCATTTACAGTTTAGCTCCTTCTCTGGTGAATGATTTTAGAGCCTATTTAACGGAGCGATACAGCCAACCCCACCCGAATTGGTTCGCAACTAAAGGAGATACGTCGTACACCTGATGCCCCTGTGCTCCTAGCAGCGAAAAAGTACCTGAATGTTAGTCGATTTTTGTGAATTACACCCAAGGAGTGTAACTCACAAAGCTGTCATAAAGCTGTCCTTCGAAAGACATTGAAATAAGATTACCTATTGTAGCTTGTAAATTCAGCTTTGAAATTTAAGTTCTTTTTACCGTAGAATTTATTAAACGACAACAGTGAATTATATGAGCTATCTGAAGAATGCCTTTAATAACTTCAAACGTTCAATTGTGCATCTGTTAAAATCGATTGTACCTCCTCCCATGGCAGACATTGGTCTGAGACACTCCCACGAAAGAGAGCCAAGGCCGGGCCACCTCTTAGAAAAGACCCGGGCAGGGCGCTTATACCGGCGAATCTACTACCTACCTACATATTAAAATCGAATGGAAAATTTTTAATTTAGACGAAGTCGCCATCTATTGGTCACCTCTAGAACCACTTTTTCGGGCTCATCCTGCACAGCCTCTTCAAGAAATATTATATCTCACTCCGTTATGCTTTGGGTAGTCAGCTCCCATGATGCTCTGCGTAGCCTTACCCTTATGATGTTCTAGGTAGCTTTACCCCCATGATGCTCCGGGTAGCCTCACCCCCATGATGCTCTGGGAAGCCTTACTCCCATGATGCTCTGGGAAACCTTACTCCCATGGTGCTCCGGGTAGCCTCACCTGCCCCCCATGGGGCTCTGAGTAGCCTCATCCCCATGATGCTCACACACCATGTCACTGGGTAGCCTCACACTCCATGATACTATGGGTAGCCTCACACACCATGATACTGTGGGTAGCCTCATACACCATGTTACTCTGGGTAGCCTCATACACCATGTTACTCTGGGTAGCCTCATACACAATGTTACTCTGGGTAGCCTCATACACTATGTTACTATGGGTAGCCTCATACACTATGTTACTCTGGGTAGCCTCATACACCATGATACTCTGGGTAGCCTCATACACTATGTTACTCTGGGTAGCCTCATACACTATGTTACTCTGGGTAGCGTCATACACTATGTTACTCTGGTAGCCTCATACACCATGATACTCTGGGTAGCCTCATACACTATGTTACTCTGGGTAGCCTCATACACTATGTTACTCTGGGTAGCCTCATACACTGTGTTACTCTGGGTAGCCTCATACACCATGATACTCTTGGTAGCTTCATACACTATGTTACTCTGGGTAGCCTCATACACTATGTTACTCTGGGTAGCCTCATACACTGTTACTCTGGGTAGCCTCATACACCATAATACTCTGGGAAGCCTCATACACTGTGTTACTCTGGGTAGCCTCATACACTATGTTACTCTGGGTAGCCTCATACACCATGATACTCTGGGTAGCCTTATACACTATGTTACTCTGGGTTGGGTAGCCTCATACACCATGATACTCTGGGTAGCCTCATACACTATGTTACTCTGGGTAGCCTCACACACCATGATACTCTTGGTAGCCTCATACACCATGATACTCTTGGTAGCCTCATGCACCATGATACTCTGGGTAGCCTCATACACTATGTTACTCTGGGTAGCCTCACACACCATGATACTCTTGGTAGCCTCATGCACCATGATACTCTGGGTAGCCTCATACACTATGTTACTCTTTGTAGCCTCATACACCATGATACTCATGGTAGCCTCATGCACCATGATACTCTTGGTAGCCTCATACACCATGATACTCTTGGTAGCCTCATACACCATGATACTCTTGGTAGCCTCATACACCATGATGCTCTTGATAGTCTCATACATCATAATACTCTGGGTAGCCTGATACACTATGTTACTCTGGGTAGCCTCATACACCATGATACTCTTGGTAGCCTCATACACCATGATGCTCTTGATAGTCTCATACATCATAATACTCTGGGTAGCCTGATACACTATGTTACTCTGGGTAACCATATTAAACTTATTTTCTAAAGTTTATGGTGGCCACTTTTAATTTCTGCATCACAGGGAAATATAAAACCATAATGTAAATTTTCCTGAGACTTTAAGTGATATTTCATTAAGTTTCATGTGTTTTTGGAGGCAGCCTAAAAGAAAATTTTCGATTTAAATACACCTGCCTCTCGTGCCAAGCCTCATACACTCTATAATTTTGTAAACTACTTCTGTTTTTCAAACTGTGTAACAATACATGTGTGGAAATTTTTTACATAATTTCGTAAATGTAGAAAATATAAAGAAATAATATAATAATTGTGATAAAATATGTTGCTGGTTTAAATAACCCTTCGAGAAATTTCGAGTGACGGGGGAGGTAGTTGAGCTGCTGAGTAACGCCGGGGGAGACGCTGTGTTGAATTTAATTGTGTGAGCACTGGTCGGAATTTTGCACCAGGAATTCGGCGTTTTCTGAGGCCTAAATGGAATGTATCGGTTTCAATTTGTAATTTAGAAATTGCTGACAAGTTTCTGCTGAAGAATTTGGACAGGAAATTAACTGGACTTCAAGAATGGCGTGTGGAGGACCAAAATGGAGGACTTCAATGAATCCTTCCTATCAACACACCTTAGCTAAGTGGCTTACCCATACTTACAGAAGTTTTTGCGTTGACCATCGTAAATCCTAGCTGTTAGGGGTTAGGTTAGGGTGTGTTCCATCAGCATTGTGTGTCTTCCAACAACTGAATGGTGAGTGCTAATGCAAAGTTCTATGTACTAATAGTTATATTTTCGTGCATCCAGCAAACCTAATCTCATACAGTCCACTTAATCATAATTTTACCATAGCTGGTTTTAATATTATAATTATTAATTTAATGTTAGGTCTAGTTTTTTGTGAAAGAGGTGTAGAAGTGGGTAATCGAAGGAGTTTCAGTTCTGTGACCTACTGTGACTCGAGTCCCACTTACCTCACGCAAATTATATGCAGGTAATAATTCAGGAAATGCCCTTTAAACCTCCTGCAGATGATTTGCTAATAATAATAAGATATACAACACCAGGTTGTGAAGATATATGTATGAAAATAAAAGCAGTGTTGAGGAATATTGTTTTTCTTTATTGAGTAACATTAAACATAATATGGAAGGTAAAAACAAGTGACGCTATAATTCTAGACGATCATCACAGCTACGTAAAAGTTCAGATGTGCGTGGGGAGTGGGCGGCCGCCTGGGGAGGAAGGGATTGGTGGTGTGGGCGGCTGCCTGGGGGCCGGTGGTGTGGGCGGCCGCCTGGGGGCCGGCGGTGTGGGCGGCCGCCTAGGAAAGCCCGGTGGTGTGAGGAGGGGGGGGGTTGGGCCGCCTAGAGTGAGGACGACAGTGTGGGCGGCCGCATGGAAGGGCCGGAGTTGTGGGTGGCCTAAGGAAGAGGGAAGGGCGTCTCCAGCACCAGTAAATATGAAGGGGCCGCTGCGAGCATCCAAAAAAAGTGGAGACCCGCCTTTAAGGCGACCTCACCTTGACCCCGGCAGTGGAACCTGCCCCAGTTTTTCACGGTACCGTTCTTGTCAGGGTACCGATCTTTTCAGGGCAACATTGTTGCCACGTACCGTCCTTGTCTGGGTACTGCTTTTCAGGGTGCCATTGTTGCTACGGTACCGTGCTTGAGCAGCTGCTCCATACGCCTTGGCCTGACGGACGACTGTCAATCTGGAACGCGATAACGCTTGCCTAGACACAATCATGTACAAATTATAAAACAATATTTACATAAAAGAAACTGCACCCAAGGGGAGGGGGCCTGGCTCGCCCAGGGAAGCAGGCTACAGTGGTATACCGGCAGCGGAATAGTTTAGAAGTATCCCTCGCCCAAAGGATCTTTTAACCAGGGGTACTCGTTTGGGCAGCGCATGCAGGTGTTAAGGCGTATAGTTTCTCCCGGAAGTTCGTCAGTGCTCAGTTCACAGTTGGTGCCACCGTAACAGAAAGGAGAACCGGTGGGGTTACACTTCTCCTTCCAGGGTTCGTAGTTCTTAAGCTGGTTGACGGGCTGAGGATCCTGGATCCACTGGATCACCTGAGTCATTGTCACGAAGTACACGTCATCGTTGTTTTGTAGCGTCTCGTCCAGCCAGTAGAATAAGGCATCGAGGATTTCAGGATTGTTCTTGAGGAAGGCAGAGTGGAAGAAGAGACCGAAAGGAGCGCGGTTGGTATGGTAATGGCGCTCGAAGTTGTTTGTCAGAAACTGGTAGAACTGGTCGGAGGTGGGCTTACTGGAGAAGCAAGAGTCGACCATAGCACAGCCAGGCAGGTCTTCTTGGATAGTTGGCTCCTCACGGCGATCCATCTCGTTCATGACCATCTCCCAAACGGCAAACGAGCGAGTGGGGCAGTTCTGGGAGTTGCCGTGGCAGGAATGAGGCATACGGTAGTACAGAGTGTAGGGCCACAGTGGTGGGTTTTGTAGAGACGCTGTGATGGTTGAGTCGTAAAGGAATGTGTTCGTCTCCATCATCTTGAACTGGTTATTACCTCCAACACGCAGGTAAGGTGCACGCAGCCCGATGATGGAGTTGTCACTGATGTTTGCGAAACGTTCAGCGATAACTCTCGCTCCGGCCATCTCACGCTCCCACTCGTCATAACTGGCTGAGCTCCAGAAGCTCTCGCTGTCGTTATGACTGTAGGAAATAAAACTTGTTATGCCTAGTAAAACACAACGTCGTGGAATATTTATATCAACTTACACTTTTATTTTCTGTGAAGAGAAATTCTTATAAGTTTTTTGTATTATTCAGTCATAATAAAATTTTGTGCGTTTTATTTCACTTTTTCACATGCGGTTATAACTTTTTAAAGGGTAAAGCGAAATCAACCTCATGCAAGATAATATCTGACATTAATTTTTACACCCTGACATGAATTTTTACGTACTGCTTCCTAAACCTGATCTAAATTTTAACCTCCTTCAACCTCACCTGATGGAGTGGATAGCAATTTCATGACCCAGTCTATGCATCTCTTGAACTGCGGAGTAGTTGGTGTACTTGTGGGAGACGAAGAAGGTAGCCTTGATGGAACACTGGTTAGGGTTGAAACGATTGTCGAAGATCTGTTGGTAGAGGTCCATGTTGTTGTTGTTGATGGCGTCGTCAAAGGTGATCATGATCATCTGGGGCACGGAGCTCGGCTGCATCTTGTGTGGGATCTACACCAGAGAGAAGAATTAGTAGACTGGCTTCATCTCCGTATCTTACAGATCTATATGTACCGAGCACGTCACAAAATCTAGTTCGTTATACAACCATTCGGTATTAGTATGAAATAGTATCTGTCGTTTAATGTATTATATGAATTTAATTTAAAGCGAATAAACATGTTTTTGAGAGGGAACCAGTTCAATTTCCGAAGACTTTTAAATAATTGTGAGGGAATAATTCTGATGTGATTTTACCTTCCAAATAAAATATAGTCTTCTTTATATAGTAATAACGAAAAGAATGATTTGTCTTGTGATAACCTTGGTAACCATGACAAAGAAACAAGGCTGACCTTGGAGGTGGGTTGGCCTTACCTCATTGGGATTGTTGTAGCAGAAACAGTCAGGGAGGCGACACTCATCAGGGTTGCAGGGAGGGGCGCTGTTGGGGTCAGTGTTTATATCTGCAGGTGGAGGGTGGGCGGTCTTAGTTGGGATGATGATAGTGAGGAAGAGAGTTAACTGTGAATAGATGGTTGCAGAAGACTGTGTGGATAAGGATAAAAAGCACAATACTGTGATTTGAACAGTACACAGATAATCCGCACATAGGAGAATGAAACTTATGATGACGTTTCGGTTCGACTTGGACTAGGTAATGGTCCAAGTCCGACCGAAACGTCGTTATATTTTGCATTCTTCTGTGTGCAGGTTATTTTGCAGACGAGGAAGATAGGTGTACTTGGACGAGAGTTGGTGGAGGGAGCGAGTGAGAGGAGTTGCTGGAGGAAGCGAGTGAGAAGGGTTGGTGGAGGGAGCGAGTGAGAGGAGTTGCTGGAGGAAGCGAGTGAGAAGGGTTGGTGGAGGGAGCGAGTGAGAGGGGTTGGTGGAGGGAGCGAGTGAGAGGGGTTGGTGGAGGGAGCGAGTGAGAGGGGTTGGTGGAGGGAGCGAGTGAGAGGGGTTGGTGGAGGGAGCGAGTGAGAGGGGTTGGTGGAGGGAGCGAGTGAGAGGAGTTGCTGGAGGAAGCGAGTGAGAAGGGTTGGTGGAGGGAGCGAGTGAGAGGGGTTGGTGGAGGGAGCGAGTGAGAGGGGTTGGTGGAGGGAGCGAGTGAGAGGGGTTGGTGGAGGGAGCGAGTGAGAGGGGTTGGTGGAGGGAGCGAGTGAGAGGGGTTGGTGGAGGGAGCGAGTGAGAGGGGTTGGTGGAGTGAGGAAGAACAATTGTGGCTATATATAACAAAACTTAGAAGTGATGGGTATGAGTAACAAAGGTAGGGGATGGTGGACATTAGTGACAAGGGTAAGGAATGGTGGACATTGGAAAGAAGGGTGGATAGTGTTGATTTTAATATTTAATATAGTTACAATATATTCACAAATTCCAGAGAGACCTTCACTGATAAATGATTACATTATATGAATTGATAACATTATCAAGAGTATAAGATTTATAAATAAAAATAATGTACCTATAAAAGTTAATGATCAGTGGTTTACAATAGGTCTAAAGATTTTACTTGATTTCGAAAAGTTTAATATTATCCAAATGCATCCAAAAGAATCTTGAATGGATTAAACATGTAGAGGTGAACAGAGGGTAGATGGAGGATGTTTTGCGGTCTATGATGGGTGCTGGAGTGCGCAAACTGCGGCTGGGGTGTGCAAGCTGCGGTGGGGCAACAAAGCAGTGAGGATGTTAGTGGCAACATGCAAGTTGTGCGTGGGACATCAGATCGAATGGAAAACTGTATCATTGGGAAAATCAAAGTGAAAATGCTGTATTTTGGATTAATATCAGCGTGAAACTATCGTAACATATGTAATAAAAGCGTGATAATGCTGTGTTATGATAAATACCAGCGAAAAATGCTGTATTACAAGGAATACTAGCGTAGGAGTAATGCACCATAAATAATGTCAGCGTGAAAGGGCTAAATTATAAGTAACAAGTGAATACTGTGAGAGGCAATGTGCGGCGGGAATATTATAATGTAAATAATACCAGTTTATAAATATTATTTCATAGGTAATAGTGAAGACTTGAAGATAAGATGTGTATCACGATAGTAAAGAAGAAGGAAGTGAGAGAGAGAGAAAAGTGAAAGATGAGAGGAGCAGATTCAGGAGAGGTGATGGAGGAGAGTGAGGGGAGGTGATGGGAGGAGAGTGAGGGGGTGATGGAGATGGAGGAGTGATAGAGAGGAGGTGATGGAGGAAGGAGTGATGAGGAGTGATGAGGAGAGTGAAGGGGAGGGTGATGGAGGAGAGGAGAGGAGGGGGATGGAGGAGAGGTGAGAGGAGGTGATGGGAGGAGAGTGAGAGGTGGCGATGAAAGAGAGTGAGGGGAGTGAGTGGAGGAGAGAGAGGGGTGATGATGGAGGAGAGTGAGGGGGGTGGTGATGGTAGAGAGTGAGGGGGTGGAGATGGAGGAGAAGGAGAGTGAGGAGTGATGGAGGAGAGTGAGAGGAGGTGATGGAGGAGAGTGAGGGGAGGTGATGGAGGAGAGTGAGGGGTGATGATAGGAGGAGAGTGAGGGGTGTGGGATGGAGGAGAGTGAGGGGTGGTGATGGAGGAGAGTGAGGGGTGGTGATGGAGGAGGTGAGAGGTGGCGATGAAGGAGAGTGAGGGGAGGTGATGGAGGAGGAGGTGTGAGGGGAGGTGATGGAGGAGAGTGAGGGGAGGTGATGGAGGAGAGTGAGGGGAGGTGATGGAGGAGGTTGAGAGGTGGCGATGAAGGAGAGTGAGGGGAGGTGATGGAGGAGAGTGAGGGGCGGTGAGTGAGGAGAGTGAGGGGTGGTGATGGATGAAGGAGGGGTGGTGATGGAGGAGAGTGAGGGGAGGTGATGGAGGAGTAGTGAGAGGTGGCGATGAAGGAGGGGTGAGGGAGGTGATGGAGGAGAGGAGGGTGGTGATGGAGGAGAGTGAGGGGTGGTGATGGAGGAGAGTGAGGGGAGGTGATGGAGGAGATGAGGGGTGGTGATGGAGGAGGTGAGAGGTGGCGTGAAGAGAGTGAGGGGTGAGTGATGGAGGAGAGTGAGGGAGGTGAGGAGAGGTGAGGGGAGGTGATGGAGGAGAGTGAGGGAGTGATGGAGGAGGTTGAGAGGTGGCGATGAAGGAGAGTGAGAGGTGGTGATGGGGATGGGGAAGGTGGTGATGGAGGAGGGTGAGGGTGGTGATGGAGGCTGGTGAGGGGTGTATGGAGAGGTGGGTGGTGATGGAGGACGGGGAGGGGTGGTGCTGGGAGCGTGAGGGTGGTGATGGAGGCTATGAGGGGTGGTATGGAGAGTATGAGGGGTGGTGTGCGGGAGCGGTTTAGGGTGGTGATGGGTGAGAGTAGATAATGGAGAGGTGGAGGGTGGTGAACGAGAGGTAGTGGGACGGGACTGAGGCGGTGGAAAAGAGTGAAGTGAAGAATGAGGTGTGTAGCAGGAGATTGAATCTTGACTAGGTGACTTGGTGTAAGGATGAGTGGTGGTGAGGAGAGAGGGTGAAGGAGTGAGGGGGGGAGGAAGAGTGGAGGGTGAAGGGAGTGAGAGGTGGAAGAGATGAGAGTGAGGAGAGAAGTGGGAGGGGCTAGAGAGAAGGTGTTAAGTAGAGAGGAGAGTGAGTGTGGTTAGGAGTCTTGGTGCGTGAGAGCACTTACATTCACTCAAGTGTGTATTCACCTATTTACGGATGCAGTTGTTTGTGTGTGTGTGCTCGCTCGCGCGCGCGCTGGTTTGTGTGTGTGTATGTGTGTATGGTAATGTTAACTTTTAATAATTGAGTTATAGTGCTGGTAAGCAAAATTGTTGCCTTTTGTTTGATAAATAAAATATGTGTTTTATAATTGAAGCAGCGGCTCTTGGAAGGCCCGGAATCGAAAAATCATATTATGTTTAATGATATTTTTTCAGTGTTGTAGTGGCGTACTTGAATATTTCTTGACTTCATAAATGCTCTTACTTATGTGATGTTTAAATAAAATTGTAGAATGAGCTAGGGGACGTTGAAGAGAGAGAGAGAGTGGGAGAGAGAGCGGGAGAGAGAGAGAGAGAGAGAGAGAGAGAGAGAGAGAGAGAGAGAGAGAGAGAGAGAGAGAGAGAGAGAGAGAGAGAGAGAGAGAGAGAGAGAGAGAAAGCGGGAGAAAGGGAGAGAGAGAGAGAGCGGGTTTAGTCAGGGGGAGTTATGGTAGAATTTGTGGGTTAGTGAGTCTCGGGGGTTTCATACGGGAACAGAACCCCTCCAGTTCCACTCCTGGTAAGTCACAAGCTTCAGGGCTAAATTGTTAGTGAAGGCTGCAGTTACATCTTTGATAAACTAGGAATTTATTGTTTAAGCCAGTAGTTTGATCCTTAAGAAGAATGAGAGTTTTTTTTTTTTTTTACTTTAAGCAGTCCAAAAGTTGCAGTGTAGTTAATTACAGTAGAAGTTTAAATGTGAGTAAGTCAGGAGAGTGAGCTAGAGTTGGCGTGGTAGTGAGGATGGGCGGCTGTAACGGGCCATCAACACAAGCATGGGTACATACCACATGCGTTTTCGTCTGAGCCGTCGCTACAGTCAGGCTTGCCGTCACAGAAGAGAGTCCTGTCCATACAGGTACTGTCTCCACACGCCAAAAAGTTTTCCTGTAAATTAAGCCACAGCCCAGGTGTCAGGTTGGGGAGAGGGAAGTAGTACAGTGAATGGGGTCCGTGAACTACACAAAATACCGTTTAGTACCTCTACGCTTCCTACACCAACCTACGCTACTACCCTGCATCAGGAGCCAAGAACGCCTCAAGTAAACACTGAGGGATCCCTGGGCTCTGAGGCAGTGGACGGTGGATGAGCAGCATTTCCTCGATGTGTCTGTTCCTCCTATTTCTTCCGAAGCCCTTTTTTGCGTGTGTTCGATGCTTTCGTGAATTCGAGACAGTTCAACATTTATTCAATAAATACTAGATGACCCCATTCTTCGGCTACCCCCATAATGGTGATCCCAGAGAGCACCAATGACACCGCAGAAGTCGTAGGTGATCTAGTGACATTTACTTGATCTGACCTTGTTCTAAATATTTCTTTTGCCACATTAAATGACTTAAGATATTACCAAAATAGATGTGTCGATAATCGCAAAAGCATCGTGATTCTATTTTGTTTGCTGTTGTTTCTTGTAGTGTTGTGAGCTCCGTCAGTAGTGAAATGGGAGTCAGACAACTTACCGCAGGCGTTCTCGTCGGACTCATCCTTGCAGTCGGGTTTGCCGTCACAGAACAAGATACGTTCAATACACTCGCCGTTACCGCATGCTAGTTGGTTCTCCTATCATTATGGGACAGAGATAATCATCCTAATATCTATGGCAGCATCTATTTGCTCTTACAGTTTTAGAATAATATTCGCTCATCTAAACTTAAAATTACAACAGCGATTCTGTAGACATTTTAATGACACTAGCAGTTTTTTCAGTAGCTAATTTCTTTCTGCCACTGCTATTTTAGTATCTAATAAACTAATACAACTACTAATATTTCATTAGCTAATATCCTAAGACAACTATTAATATTTCAATAGCTATTTTCCTAACGCTGTCCGTAATGGTGCAGGAGCTATTATCCTAGTGCAACCGGTGTTTCATTAACTACTATTCTAATGTAATCAACAGTGTGTAATTTCAGTTCCTTTCCCATATAAATCCTACATCAATATCCAGTATTAGTAGAGCAAATGTCATTAAAGATCTCTTCGTTTACTGCGACTCGTTAAGCATACATAATTACAAGGTAATTTTTCATCACAGCCTATTGTAGACGTAGGCTTTACTAAACACGAACAACACAAAATAAATTATTTAAATCTACGTATTGTTTAATAAAGATTATTAATTTAGTAAGATATGACACAAATGATGAAATCATATCTAAAAAGTTAACAGCAATTGACAGACATTCTTGAGGTACCTGAAAGTTACAATTAAGGTCAACAGTAGCGTTGTAAACCACAGACGGAAAAAAGAACAAGTCATTTAAAGAGAAAATTATGTATCCATGTATATAAATCAGTATATGTGATCACGGCAGTACCAGGGAGGTGTGACTGTATGCCGAGGTGTTACCTGACAGAGTGGTTCTTCGGTGTTGAAGAGCGGCTTTGCCTTCTTGATCTTTTGCTTGTCGGCGCAGTTTTTGACGTTGGCCTTCCAGTCACACGTCTGCAACTCCAAGTCGAAGGCCAGCCCGTGGGGGCAGCGCAGAGCTTGAAGACCCTGTTGGAGGCGAGAAAGGTTTGCGGTTAGCGCTTGTTGGGAGGCAGTGGCGTTGTGGTGAGAGACATTAGTAGTTTGGTAATTACTGTGGATGTAAGAATTTGTTGTTGTTGTTGTTAGGAGGTAATGTTTATGGGAGGCAGCGGTTGTTGTGGTTGGCAGTAGATACAGTTACGAGAAACGGTGGTTGTTACAGATTAGAGTAATTAAGCCCTAAGGCTAAGGCCGAATGAAATAGCTTTGCTGAATTAGATTTTTATTTGAATGTCCGTGTATGCCTTTGCGTGTAATCCATTGGTCTGTATACCGTCCCATAGTAATGTATAGGCGTAATTGTATCACTGTCTATCGCGTTCGTGTGATAACGAATGTAGACAATAAACGTAGAGGCAAACAGAGCAAACAAAGGACACCACCATAGTGTCTGCTTGTCAAGACTGACAGTATGGTAAGGTAATGAATGTATTTATTCTTTTTTTTTCCTGAAGAATTCCGTACTATACCTTAAGGAATTATCGTACTGTAATTTCGTACCGTACTTTTTAACAACAAAAAAAATCAATTATACCGTACTGAATTCCGTACCGTACCGTTCTGCCAGCCTTGCTCCCCACAGACTACCGTGTTCAGTAAGCCAGCCTCTTTAATTCACTCCTCCATTATAAGTTGTACCCCATTCTATTTAATTTACTACCCACCTTATCTGTTCTCCCCATATTTTCATTCCTTAGGCTCCTTCACCCTCATTAACTCCCAATCATCCTCTTTGCCAGCAGTCTCATATCACGTTTAACTACTCTTTCCCACCTTCATTCCTACCCTCCTCATCTTTGGCCCCCCACCTTCTTACTCATCCTCCTACCCCTTAAGTAACCAAACAATTTGTTTAATCATGGTTTAAATGCCTCAGTCGAAGCGTTGCTTGGCTGACTGATGTGTTTGCATGGCTCTTTACATGATACTTGGCCTTGACGGAGCCAAGCCCAGCGCATGTGAGTGGCGGCCATTGGTAGTTCGTGTTCGTATTTTTTACCACACATCTCTTTCTGGAACAGATTGTGCGTATAGTTGTTTTAAGATGAAATTTCATAAAGATAATTCTGGGCCTTGAATTAAAGTTAATTGAAAAACAAAAAAATACTGAAGCCAAATACTTTTAGCATGTCTTCTTATATCCTTCAAATCGTCAGACTAGTAATCTCAGACACTACGAAGAAACAGAAAGAATAAGAAATAAGTTTCATTCTGAAGATTGAGACACTTATGCAACATATGGGAATCTTTATTCAGGAAACGTTTCGCCACACAGTGGCTTTATCAGTCCAATACAAAGTAGAAAGGCGTAAGGAGAGGAGGAGTTTGAGGTAATCAGTCCCTCAGCCTGGAGTCGATGTGTTCAGTCCATCAATCTTGTAGAATGTACAAGATGGACTGAACACATCGACTCCAGGCTGAGGGACTGATTACCTCAAACTTCTCCTCTCCTTACGCCTTTCTATTTTGTATTGGACTGATGAAGCCACTGTGTGGCGAAACGTTTCCTGAATAAAGATTCCCATATGTTGCATAAGTGTCTCAATTTTCATCGTGTCGGTTTTTCAAACCATTCATCACACAAGTTTCATTCTGCCGCTCTAGGCACTGTTTGGCAGGCGCTTAAAATTACGGCATTCTTCACTCATTGGCAACAATAGTGAAAGTGAGGAGAACTGAATAAAGATTTGTCTGCTGCTGGCACCACTAAGGACGGCCACGGACGGATGGAAACACACACACACACACACACACACACACACACACACACACACACACACACACACACACACACACACACACACACACAGAAGGTAGACAGAAGCGTGTGTTTGACATAAGAGGATCAAGAACAGGAGAGCAAAGATGGAAACTGGACACCCAGATTAGGTTTAGGGATGGGTATATGGGTAGTAAAAAACGTGGAAACAGTAGGTTGTGGGAACACACACACTGTATAGAGACCAAAGAGGATACAAACTAACAATGAAAGTTTTTTTTAAATTAAAAGTGGGGCCAGGAGCCTAAAACTTGACCCTTGCAAGAAAAACCTCTATAAATCCCTAGGTGTGTACACACCCTATCACTCACACTTGTATGAACACGCGCATGCGCACAAACAGGCTCAACTTATCACTGCCCCTGTTAATTACCTTCTTCCCAGACAACACACCACAATTTCTTACCCCCGAAACCTCTCCCAAGTATATCACAGATATGTCTCACTCACAGTACCTATTCCCACTCTAAATACCCATCTAAAAGAAGGTTAATCCTTCCCTCTTGCACCCTTTCCCAATTTTGACCACCCCTCCACAATTTCATCACTCTCTTCTACCCTATCTTCAGCAGTAAGCTCTCTACACCACCTTCCCACTGCTCCTCCAGCCTACGCATGCCTACTGTCTCTTAGAATAGTCCTAAAGATCAACCAGTCTAGAACATCATCCCCCTCCTCACTCATTACTGGGTGGCAGAATCAGAGTGTATAAATGTAACTAACACAAAACAGTTATCTCAGTAACATAGTGTAACAACAACTGTAATATTTTTTAGAGTGATATAACATAAAACCCCTTCGGATCCTCGAGGACTCCATCATTGTTCAACCAGGAGGTTTTGTGTTTGCTATCAGGCCAATGTCTATCCTTATTTACGTACGTGATCGTATACATCCCCACTTCATAACAGCACAAGTAAATTAGCAGTTGCTTTTCTGCCGCATCCCAGGAAGGGTAAACAGTGGTACACTTTAATAAGTTTTCATGATTAAGACCCACAACAAGTGATTTTTTTTGTGTTTAATAAATTATGTAATGTAACGAAAAGACATACTGAGAAAACATAAAAACTTTAATAAAGAGGGAATGGCCCTGATGGTTAGTATTAAATGGAGAAAATATAGAATGGAAAGCCTGAACAATATGATCTTAATGGACAATGTAGCAGAAATGATAAATGTTCCCAAGGCGATGACAGGTGTAATGACAAACAATCGCAAACCATACAAGAGAGACCCAAGCAGGAATATGAAGACAACACTACTGTATTAATTATCCAGAGGGTAACAGTGCGTAGACTGGAAGAAATAGGCCCTTGTAGAACCAGACAGTGATAGAAGGCTTAAAAAATTAACACTCTTAGGAAAGAACGAAATGAAGAATACAAGGGAAGTGCATGGTTTAATTAGATGCTATGAAGCCAAAGTGGAACATACATGAACCTGGAAGAAATAGTTCGTAAATCACGACATAAAATAAATAAAAAAACTATGCAGGAAAGGCAGGATTAAATGCTGTGTTAGAGTGAGGAGAGACAGAGAAGTACTCGGAGAATGACAACAAAACCAAAAAGATTTGAAAATATTATATAGCCACATAAACCATTCATTGAGGAAAAACCCTATTAGCTTCGATTCCCAAGGTACTGTGTGACTTGCGGGTTTAGCACTTTCCCATGAATATAATAACCACATAAGGCAAAAACCCCAAGAAAGTTAAAGTAATAAGATTGCTGTAAGAGGACATATTAACAAAAAAAAATAAATGTGTGGTTGATGAACTCAACTGAAGATTTTAATGGATGTTCCATAAAGGAGAGAAAAACTTGTTCATGAAGTGAAAGGGGAACCACAAAGTCAAGCAGAACTGGAGAACTTCATAATACTCTTGCATGAAGTTGTAGTATAGACAAGAAATCGCCATGGATACTAAAAAGAGGTGAAGCCTTGTGTGAGCCAATAGTGAGCATATACAAGACGCTTGAGACAGGGAAACTGTCGTAAAGCTGGAAAGCACACATTGCTCCTAGTTTACCAACATTAAATTAGAAAGGAAGTATTAAGCAAAAGGTCAGTATCCTTGACGTGCCTTCTGTGGAAAGTGATGGAAAATGTAATTAGGATGTGGCTAGTAAACCACAAGAAGATAAGAGATCCCATCACGATAATACCCACATGTGTTTAGACATTGTCAACACCGTGTTAAAAATCTACTGAACTATTACGAGAAGCTGACATTAATGAAACAAATCAAGAAAGGGGTAAGAAGACTATTTTTCGAATGAGAGAGAGATGTGGTCTGTATGTACAAGATAATTAGGGGCAGTAATATGAGAGAAACCTAAACCAAGGGATAGACGTGAGTGGATCCAAAAGGCTATGAATCAAATATGTCTGACTGAACAATAAGAGAGAGACCAGGAGCTGAAACTTGATCTTCACAAGCTCGAGTATGTGAGTACACAGTGAACGCACACAGAAAGAGTTTTCTACCCATTTAGTGACAGCCCCTGACTCGTTATACACCGTCCTTACTATGTGCATTACACACTACCAGTATATTGTACTTAGCATGTGCATGACACACTATCACTATACCATCCCTAGTAGGCAAGTGACACTCTACCAATTCTGTCTGTCACATAAGGTAAACAGCAGTACACCTGTGAGTAGCATAACAGAAGTGTTTCGAGAAGTGTAAGGTTTTTGAAAATGAGGGAAGGTGGGGGAAATTTAGGAAAAGGGGAAAAATGAAAGGAAGAAGGGGGGGGGTACGATGCGTCTTGTGTAAAGTCATCTGAACTCCTGAGTCAACTTGCAACATTACTGTCACTATTACAACAAGAACCACCACCAGATAACCTCGGTATAAAAAAGGCTTTATCTGTCATCTCAGTGAACACTAACAGGTTGGACACCGACTGTGACGAACCTGAGTCACTGGTGAATTTGATTCTTTGACAGCGAAACAATGAAAATTAGAACCAGCAAAGAACCTTCGGAACCGTCATTGGGACGTGACTTATATATCAATGTGAGGTAATGGAAAAATTCGTTAACTATTATACACTGAAAATTCAGTATACTGCATGGTTCTCTCTCTCTCTCTCTCTCTCTCTCCTCTCTCTCTCTCTCTCTCTCTCTCTCTCTCTCTCTCTCTCTCTCTCTCTCTCTCTCTCTCTCTCTC